GACCACCAACTCTCAATATACCATGTGCATCGATAAATGGATTTAATTTTAGAATATTGCTATCCTTATTTATATTTTTGCCGTTTTTAATCGAATGTAACTCTGTTTTAAAGGCGTCGCGTTGTATTAATTTTACAAGACTTAATCTAGATTGTTCTAATTCGTCGATCGACAATGGTTGTACTTTCTTTATGCAATCCTCGCTAGTTGTACGCACATTGTTTGTCTTCCCCCCTTTGCAACCCGCTATGAATCTGTGGCAAAACGCAACTACACGTAAGAGACAAGACAATTTGGAGAACCAAGCAAATATCTCGTAATGCGATTCAGTGTCGGCTTTAACTAATAAAGCCGTAGCCTTTCTTTCAGGTACTTTGATCTTGGATGCACGACAACACTCAGAAGACCATTTGTTTTGAGTCAGTTTTAACCAAGAAGGTCCTGACCACCAAATGTCCAAATTACTTAGTACGTCAGGCATGATGCCCCGAGAGAGTGGATCAGCGGGATTGTCCTTGCTGAGAACGTGCCCCCAGCTGTCAATATCTGTAAGGCGTTGTATTTCAGCAACGCGATTTGCCACAAATAATGTCTATTGTCGACTAGATGATCGTATCCAGCATAATACGATGCGCGAATCAGTCCATAAACGAATAGACTTGACACTGAAGGGCAAACAATCAAGAATCTTTTTTACAAGCTGGGCTAACAACAGAGCACCACATAATTCGAGACGCGGAATTGACAATGCCTTAAGAGGCGCCACTCTTGATTTGGAGCACAATAGATGAACTTCAGTCTGACCATTAGCTGACACAGATCTAAGATAAATACACGCTCCATAAGCTTGCTGACTCGCATCAGAAAAACCATGAATTTCTATGTCTTGTGTTTCATCACATACAAGTACCTTACGTGGTATTTCAATATTGCTAAGAGTTTGTAGTTTATTTTCATATTCCTTCCAGAGGGTATGCAAATCGCTAGCTATGGATTCATCCCAATCAATTTTAGCTCGCCATAATTCTTGCATTATAAGCTTCGCAATTACGACGGATGGTCCTAACAATCCTAATGGATCGAATACTAATGCTATTCTTGATAAAATACTACGCTTTGTAGGCCTTTCCAATGGCGCAAGTTGCGCTACGCTCAGAAACTTAAACACGTCTGTATCACAATTCCAGCCTACTCCAAGAGCTTTGGTTTCGTTACTATAATCGGCAACTAAATTGAATTCCTTCTTACAGGGACCCTCTGAATCACGAAGAGAAGAATGATTGGAGGACCACTTCGTTAACTCGAAACCGCCCTTCTTAAGTATTTCGATTGCTTGTTCCTTTATTTCTGATGCCTTCAGCAAGGTAGAACGCACCTGTAAGAAGATCATCGACATAAAAATCACGTGGAATTATTTTAGATTCAATTGGAAATGATTCTCCTTCATCCTCGGCAAGTTTTTTCATGGTCCTAATTGCCAAAAACGAAGCCGGCACCGTGCCGTACGTAAGTGTGAGAAGCTCAAATATTTTTAAATCATCATGAGGAGAATCGCGCCAAAAAATGCGCTGAAGACCTCTTTGAGACTCGTCAATACGAACCTGCCTATACATTTTAGTAACGTCGGCAGTCATTGCATACTGGAATGTGCGAAAGCGCGTTAGAATAGAGAACAAGTCTTCTTGAATGGTTGGACCCGGCAACAGAGCCTCATTTAATGAAAA